CCAATGAGTTGATACAAATGTGAGCAGGCTCAGAGAACCTAAATCTGTATTTCTGCCAAGAGCAGCAGCTCAGTTTTTGAATACAATATTTGCAAAATTATTATAACTACCAGGAATAATAACAACTGTGGTTATGGATTTGCTGGTGCTAAAAACTACCATTTCATGTTTTGTTTGTTTTTCATTTTGGATTTTTCCCGTTTCTCTGTGGGTTAAACAGTTGTTAAACTCAGTTTTAATTTATCTAAAGTATCATTGAACATTTCTTTTTGTATAACTCTTATAGTGGTTGTTCTAAGTATTACATTATACATATGTAACTTTTCAATCTGCTGTTGATGACACTAGATGGAGTAAAGTGTATGCCCCTTACCTCATTTTATGTAACTTTACCTTCTCCTATTTAATTGTCTTAAATATTTCCTCTACATAATTGAAAATGCTACCAGATAATGTTACATTTCTTGCTTTAACCATCAAAAATAATTTAAAATTTATAAAGGGCAGAAAAAATTTATTTTCTGAGGGTTTTTTTTTCTTACCCTGTTCTTTTTTCTTTCCTGATAGTCCAAGATACCTTCTTTTCTCATTTCCTTCCTGTTTCCAAAATTTCCTTTAGCTATTCTTTTAGGGTAGCCTACTGGAAGCAAATTGTCTTCTTTTTTCCTTCATGTGAAAAAAAGAACCAAAACCCTCTAATTCTCCTTCATTCTCTAGAATTTCACTGGATTTAGGGTGCTGGGTTGGCAGTTCCTCTCTTTCATTACTTGAGAAGTACTTATGGTCTCTGTCATTCAAATGGTTTTTCCCCTATTGGTATAATTTTGCTTCTCTCTGGATGCCTTCAAAGGTTTTTCTTTGTCTTTTTTTTTTTTTTTCAGCTTTAATTGAGTTTATTGGTACATTTTCGGGATACAGTACAGCTACATTCATTGTTGGGCCTTGTACCTCTGCATGACAGGTCTTGGTTCTCATTTTTTCCCCTTGTCCCTTCCCTCCCTTCACCCCCTCCTCCCCTCCCCATCTACAAACACTTTATTTCCATCTTTTCATTATCTCACATTTTTTTCTTTTCCCTTATTACTCTTCCCCTACCCATCCCACCTTCCCTACACCTTTAGCCCCTTTCTTCCCATTTCACAATGTCAGCAATCTCATTAGGATCTTATGTATTATTGCAGTTTATTCACACCAGAGAAACTATTTGGTATTTACACATGTGTGACTTATTTATTTCACTTAGGAGTATATCTTCAATATGTATCCATTTTCCTATGAATGAATCTATTTTCTCATTCTTTATGGCTGAGTAATATTCCATTTTATAGAAAAACCACATCTTCTTTATCCAGTTTCCAACTGATGGGCAAATGGGCTATTTCCAAGTTTTAGCTATTACAAACTGTGCCACTATAAACATGGGTGTGCATACATCACTGTGATATGATTCTTTTAGTTCTTTTGGAAAGATACCCAGCAGAGGGATGGCTGGGTCAAATGGAACCTCCAGTCCAAGCTCTTTGAGGTATCTCCATATTGATTTCCATAGTGGTTGCACCAGTCTACACTCCCACCAACAATGGAATTTGTTATTGTATGATTTCTTGATAGCAGCCATTCTTTGTGGGATGAGGTGGAATCTCACTATTGTTTTCATCTTCATCTCGCGAATGATCAGTGATGTGGAACATTTTTTCATATATTTACTTGCTGCTTTTACTGAGCAGTGTCTCTTCATTTTGGATGCCCATTTTGAATCTGGTCTTTATATTTGGGGGTGCTGATTTTTTTGAGTTCTTTATATATTCTAGATAATAGTCCTTTGTCTGAAGAGCAGCTGGTAAAAATTTTTCCCACATTGTAGTTGTCTCTTAGTTCTGCTGATGGTTTCTTTTGCAGTACAGAAGCTTTTTAATAAGATGAGATCGCAGTTGTTGATTCTTTCTGCTAGTTCCTGTGCTACTGAGAATTTGTTCATAAAGTCTTTTCCTATGCCAATGTCTTCCAGAGTTCTGCCTAACTTACTTTCCAGCAAGTTTACTGTTTCTGTTTTAATATTTATATCTTTAATCCACTTGGATTATAATTTAGTGCATGGTGAAAGATAAGGGTCCAGTTTTAATCTGTGGCAGGTTGACATCCAGTTTTTCCAACACCATTTATTAAAGAGGCTATCTTTCCTCCACTGAGGGTGGTCAGCTCCTTTGTCAAAGATGAGGTAGCTGAGTACATGTGGATTTGTTTTTGTGTCTTCCAGTCTGTTCCATTGATCCTCAGGCCTGTTTCTTTGCCAGTACCATGCTGTTTTTATCACAGTGGCTTTGTAGTATAGTTTCAAGTTGGGAATTGTTATACCCGCTGCCATGTATCTGTTGCCTAGGATGGCTTTTGCTATTCTAGGTCTCTTATGGTTCCAAATGAATTTTTGGATTCTTTTTTCTAGTTCTGTGAAATACAGTATTGGAATTTCAATTGGCATTGCATTGAATCTGTATAGCAGTTTTGGTAGTATGACCATTTTCACTATGTTGATTCTTCCTACCCAGGAGCAGGGGATTTCTTTTTTCTTCAATTTCTTTTTTCAGAGTGCTATAGTTTTCAGTGTAGAGATCTTTTGCTTCTTTTGTTAGATTGATTCCTAGATACTTCATTTTATGGATGGATGCTATTGTAAAAGGAATTTTTTCCCTTATTTTTCTCTCAGTGAGTCTGTTATTTGCCTATAAGAAGGCTATTGATTTTTGGGTGTTCACCTTGTATCCAGCTACTCTACTGAATCTGTCAATTAAGTCTAGAAGTCTTTTGGTGGAGTTTTTGGGTCTTCATTGTAGAGTATCAGATCATCAGCAAATAATGACAGTTTAACTTCTTCCTTTCCTATCTTTATTGCTTTAATTTCTTTCTCTTGTCTAATTGCTGTGGCTAATGTTTCCAGAACTATATCGAAGAGGAGTGGTGATAGTGGGCATCCTTGTCTTGGTCCTGATTTTAACATGAAAGTTTTCAGTTTTGGGCCATTTAATATGATGTTGGCTGTTGGTTTTTCATAGATAGCCTTTATTAAGTTGATATATAGACCATCTATTCCAATTTTTTGCAGGGTTTTTATCATGAATGGGTGTTGAATTTTGTCAAATGCTTTTTCTGCATCTATTGAGAGGATCATATGGTTTTTGTCCTTGACTTTGTTAATATAATGTATTACATTTATTGACTTACATATGTTGAATCACCCTTGCATCCCTGGAATAAATCCGACTTGGTCAGGATGTATGATCTTCTTGATAATCCTCTGTATTCTGTTTGCTAGTATCTTATTAAGGATTTTTGCATCTATATTCATTAAGGAGATTGGCCTGTAGTTCTCTTTTTTAGTTGCGTCTTTCCCTGGTTTGGGAATCAAAGTGATCTTTGTCTTTAGTGTTTAGGAAGTAACCATGCTGTATTTGTATATGAATTTCTTTGGGTTTTTCTTGTTTGACTTAGGCTCAGCTTCTTTACTCTGCAAAATTTGGGGAGGTTTTAGGCATAGGTTTCTTCACTTTTTCCTCCTGATCCTATGTCTTCTCCTCCTGGGATTTCACTGAGAAGAATGTCATTTTATAGACCCACAGGTACCTGGGTCTCTTTCATTTTTTTCAACTCTATACTATTTTTTTAGTACATGTTTGTAATTCATATAGTCTACAGTCATCTTGAGAAATGGGTACATACCACACCTTGTTTGTTTTTTTTTAATCCTCTTCCCTCAGCCACCCCCCCATTCCCCTATCCCATTTTTCCTTTTGTTAATATTGATCTTAACTCTGGAAAATATGTTGAGTGAAATAAACCAGACACACAAGCTTCAATACCATATGGTAGCTCTCATTTGAATGAGGCAAAGTACAAAGAGAATAATGAAAAATGGATAGAAGGGGACAAGGAGCTAGATCTCTTGCAATAGGGAAGTGGTACAAGGAAACAAGCATGAGGGTGAGGAGGAGGGGAGGGGGAAATACATAGAATAAAGATATGTCCTGTTCAGGATCCTAATAACCTCAGTTAATCTATTCTATATTCTATATTGGGAAAATTTCTTTTGTTCTAAAGTTCAGGGATTCTTTTCTAACATGTGAGTTACTTATAAGCGGTGTTGTATGTTTGACTTTGGTTTGGATCTTTTATTTGTAACTCCTGATGAGCTTTTTGAGGACCACTGTTTTGGAGTTTGGGGTTTTTAGATATATTTTATAGCATAATTGGTGGTCAGTAGTTGTGAAAGCCAAAAAAAAAGGCTTCAGAGATGACTTTGGGTTCGGGGATATCTGCTAAATTAAGCTTGTTAACTTGGCTCATTTTCCAGTGTTTATTACTGACTGAGCATTGTAATACATCTTTGCACTGCCCTACGCTGTGGGGTTCCAGCAATAAACTCCTCTGACAACTGCTCTGGTTCACATTCTATTGTGGCCAAGAAAGTAAAGTAAAATACTCAATATTTCAGTTGCTCAGGTCAGAGAGAAATGAAGGAGCGTGTGATAGGTGATAGAACTACTTCCCTGTTATAGCGTTATCACTGATTAGGTGACACTTTGAGCAAAGCCTGGAGGACCTACAGAACAGCTTTTACATGGAGGGTGCAGCCTTCCTGGACCAAGGTTACCCACGTGTAAAACAAAAGTAATTCCATGTGCTGTGGTAGAAATAATAGATCTGAAATCCTAACACGGGCTAGTCTGTATACTCATAGTGACATGAATGGTTTTGCTATGAGGCTGGTTCATGGTGATTTCCAAGTTAGGGACTTGATCTAGAAACTGGTTGGAAATTAGTTGGTGGCTTCCATATTGTCAGCCAGGGTCTGTTGCTGTAGGGGTAAAGAAGAGATAGGGATACCACCTGACCTTGCATATTCCCCCTACAGGCTTATGGAGAGATTTCTCGTGGATGGATTGTATCCTTTAAGGTTGGAGATGCCCCTTGTTCGTGTGGCTCCTCCCCTACTCGTGCTCAAAATATTGCCCACCCTTTGGCGCCAGCAGCCCAAGAAAGAGCCATGGATGGATGAATGCTCAGGCTTAACGCTGTCCTCTCACCAGTGCATCCACATGACATCACACAATCTCTCCTGTCTTGGAGCTTACTCAGATTTGGGTTTCTCTTTTATTAGGAGAATAATGCAAATGGCTGACCCAGAACACCTTCTCTGTTTTAAATCCTCCTCCTCAGATGGTCAAATTCTCCTCCTTCATATCTCTGACTTGGTCAAGTCACCTAACCTCAAACCTCAAAGAACAAGCCCCTTAATATAAGTTATAAAAGTCTCTTAATATGAATACATTTTGTAAAATATGAGCTATGACATCTCCCCTCTCCTGTAAATTGTTGTTTGTGCAAGTTTGAAATGAGGCCCTCCCTACAACTAAGAAGTTTGGGATTTTTTGTTGTTTGTGTTTTTATGGTGCTGGGGATTGAAACCTGGGCCTCACATATGCTAGGCAAATGCTTTACCACTGAGCTACATTCCCCAACCCTTCTTATTTTATTATGAGACTTATGTCTCATAAGTTGCACCGGCTGGCCTCAAACTTGTGATCCTATTGCCTCAGCCTCCAACATAGCTGGGATCATTGGTGTGCAACAGCATGCCCACTTAACTGAGAGACTTTTAAAAAGCTTCCCAGGTGGACCACTCAGAGCTGCAGGTAAGAAAGCCTGTAGAGCCTGTTGCTTCTTGCCCTGGCACCCAAGGCTGAGGTCTGTCACCTGGATCTGCCTATATTCTGCTCCACCTCATACCAAGCACTCCCACCCAGCCTGCCCACATCATCTTGGCTTTACTATTAAACTACCCAGCATCTTTTAGCTTCAGGAAGCATTACACCCTGAACCTCTGGCTAATGTCAGTTTATAAACAGCTTATCAGCTGTCTGACTTGTGGGAGCTTTTTTCAGTGGAACAGTCATGTTACTGCCTAGAGTTAGGATTTCCTTTCTGTCTTACAAGAGCTGTTTTTATGAAGGAGTTGCATCCAAAGTTGCATTTTCCAACTTCATGATGCCCCTATGACAGCTTCTCTGTAAAATCCTGTTTCATGTTTACCTCAGGCTTAGATACCCCCCAGGATACATTCCTAGCCCGTGCTGCCCTAGCCCTTCTGTGGAGTTTGTGCCAATGAGAGGCTGATTCTTAGTCTGGAAGATTCATTCAGTTTAAACTCTAGGTAATAAAAAAAAAAAAAAAAAAAAGAAAAG